ATTTCCATGTGATTCCCCATCTTTTGGTCCTTCGTAATGAATTGCCACTTCTACCATAAAACGGTTTCTCAAAAAAGATCTCAAATTGAAAGCATCATCTGCACTCAGAATTCCTAAGCTTGCAGGCAAGCCAACCATAACCATGCTAGCACACATGTCTGGCGGTGACCCAAGAGATGTTCCCCAATCTGTGACTAACATTTCTCCCATTTCAACAACAGCATCGTGATTCCTCCTCCTAATTCCCTCAATGCCGCCTTCAAACCTACTAACAAATTCTAACACCTCAGGAATAACTAGCTGTGAGCTGTAGTCCCGTGTTCCAATCCATGCACTCTCGGTCGCCAGTCCATTTCCATATTCATGTGAAACCACTGGATGATGCAACTCAGCGAATACATCTGATTTTTTACAGTACAAAACAGCCACTGACGGTGGGCAGAAGAACCATTTGTGCAAATTTGTGACATAAAAATCAGCCCCGATTTCCTTAACATTCACAGGAACATTGCCTATAGCATGAGCAGCATCAACAAATACTCGCTCCACACCTTCTTCCCTGCAGAGTTTGACCAAACTACACACTGGAATTACAACAGCTGGCATTGAAGTAATGTGATCAATTATAGCCAGACGAATTTTCAGTCCATTGGCTTTGCCTCTGGCCAAGCCATCGCGAAACTTAGCAATGATTTCTTCATTGGAACTAACAGGAAATGGAAGATGCACTACAATAACAGAGCCCCCTGCACGGGTCACATATGCCTCAATTGACTTCTTAATGGCTTCAAATGCACAGTGGAGCATCACAACCGCGTCACCTTTCTGGAATCGGCCCTCCGCAAAGGCCCAGCCCACGTGTTGGAGGACAATTGCAGCCCCCGTTGTGGCATTATCTACAAGGGAGACCTCTTCAACGTGCTCAGCATTTATGAGGGTCTTGATGAGGTTGCGGGAATGGAGTATCCGTTTCTGAAGGTGGTTGAAGAAGAAGTCGTCTGGTTGCTCCAGGAAACGGAGCTGCCACCTTTTCTGGGCGGATATGATGGAGGACGGGCAGCTCCCAAACATGCCGTTGTTAATTCGAGCGATGCCATGTTTATGGTGGGCGAATTCTTGTCGGATTTCGGATTCTGAAATGAAACCAAGGGTGGAAGAAAGCTTTTGTTTCTTGAACGAATGGCTACCGTCTACGTCTTCGCGGTGGTCGTAACTGTCGCCGTTGATTCTAGGATCATCGCGAGGATCATCCATGGATGCCGAAACTAAAATTCGATCCGGTGAGCGTAGGGTTTTGGTTTCAAGACCACAACTCTGCTCCAGCCAACTGATTTCCTTATCCTAATCTATGTATGTCGTTTATTCGTCCTCTGCCAAAATACTGGAATAACAAAAACTCACGAAAATTACCCATTTTTAACGACCAACATTATTTGGAAGGATAAAGTTATTTTTACCCCAAGAATTTATATACTTCATTTTATATACCACAGGGATGTACCAATATTATGTGTTGCTGTAATGCTAATTTTTGTTAACGTACCAACATTTTGTGTCAGTATAATTTTTTGTTAACGCACCAACACTTTGTGCCAGTGTGAACCATCAAAATGTTGGTGCATACCTTTGGTGTACAAATGGGATACAAATTTTGGGGTACATGTAACATGCTCCTATTTGGAATATCACGATTGGGTGGAGGTACTTTGAATGGTCTACTGGATTTTTTGGTAAGAATTCTTATATCTAATATTTTTCAAAATATACTTTAGAGTTCTTAAATTTTGTGATATTATACTTTGACGGAACACATTCCGTCTGTTTAGGCGTTAAGATTAAATGTTTTGTTATTTTAATAAACTGAAGAATTTTATTACTCCTTATGTCCGAAAATAATTTTCTCATTCCACCTTTTTCTCCGTTCGGATACAATCTTCCATTTTTACTTTTTAACACACAAACTACCTTTCTCAAAATACCTCCACCCAATTACTCTCTTTTTCTTTCTTTCCCTTCTTATCTCGGCCAGATCTCTAGATCTGCCAGTTCTTCTACTTCTTCTCTCTCCCCCACGTCGTTCTTACTCTCTCTCTCTTCTTCTTCTCCCCCTATTCGTTCTCGGCTTCTTTTCTCCCCCCCCCCCAATTATTTCTCGGCCCTCTGCTTTATCCAAAATTGTTCCTTCTTCTTCCCCTTCTTTCTCATGTTTGCTTGATTCCCAAATCGATGGTGGTGACAAATGCGATGGTAGGGTCGGCATTGATGGTGAGGCGATAGTCGACTAGTGAAGACGGGGCATATGTTTTTCTTCTCCCCCTTAATATTTAGATTTTTTAGATCTAAGATTTTTGGGTGGGTCTGATGGTACTCGCAGTTGTGGTGAAGATTGAGGCGGTGGGGCTGTTGTTGGGGCCGATGGTGGCGGTAATGGGGGCGGATGGAGTTCATAAGAGCAAGGGGCAGTGGTAATTCCCTTATGAGGGGCATGGGCAATGCTAGCAAAAGAGGATGGTATTTTGGACATTTCCTTTCCATCGTCAACTCTCTTTAAAATGAAGAAAAGTCAAAGTAGGAAGTTTATTCCCGGACTGATGGTGTAAATCAACCACCCGGGCAAAATGTACTAGAGCGGGTCTAGAATAGTTCGCTAAGCTTACGGAAACAAAAGGCGTAGAAAACAAGGATTGGCCGGGAGGAAAGTAGGTGGAAACACCTATAGTCCAATTGTTATTAAGTATGTAGAAGAGTACTAGAAGGTATTACACAATATGCTCTAGAGGAATAAAGTTTCTTGTCCATTCATTTGAGGGTTAGAGAGGTATTTATAATGAAATGGAGGGGACAGAGCATCACGCGTCCACATCAACCCACGCTCTCAGACGACACAAGGTGACGTTCTCTTAACCTGTAGGGTTTTGTCATATTCCCTTGTCATCATGTGCTGATGATACGTCCTTTGGCACGTAGCGCCCAGCTAAGGATGTTTAGATATTCTCGTGATCTTTCATTGAAATTTGGTCACTACTGTCCGACCGACTTTCTATTTGTGCCGACACTTTCACACCATAGTAACCTACCTAGCAGGTTTACCGGCCCTACATTCTGAAGGGGTAGAAGACCACCATCATGAAGTCACGTACTCTGATCGGTAGGTCTACATTTTGTACCTTTTTCGAACCTGACCGGTGGTCTATTTTTAGTTTAAATCTTCCATTCTGATATGTTTGAATCAGACCGATCAGCTGTTGTGGACCTGGATTTGGACCTGGTCCTGGGTGGAATACACTAATTAATAAGCCCTCAACTTCTTGGCCTTATAAATTTATCAAGGGCAGAAAGTGAAAAATTAGAATCTGGCACTTGAAATTTCAAATTTAAGCTTTTCCCACCTAGATTTTGGAATTTGAATTATAAAAATCAACATTTCGACATCTGTCACGCTCTTACCATACACCATCATTATGTTCTGCCTATCATTTTGTCTTCCTATGTTCCACGCGTTCACCAGCTGACGCCTCGCTTCCTCTTCCTACCACGCATTGCGCTATCCTCCTCCTCCTCGCCTATATCAAGGCTTTCTTCTTCTTTCTTTAGTTGACTTTTTGCAAATCCACTCGAATTCTTCCCGGTCAAGTTCCTTCTCAGCCCTCTGAGTCTTCTAAATTCTAAGTAAGTTCCCGATTCTTCTTTGCCTTTCATTATTTGTTATGTCTTTTGAGGATAGCAAAAAAGGTTTCCGCTACCTCATATGCATCTGCATGCGAGGATTTCATCCCGTCTTCTTCTTCTTCTTCTTATTCTTCGTCTCCATCCCGTGAGGAGCCGGTTCCCGAGGGTTCTGTTTCCCAATCCCGCTCCTATCAACTAGGAACCGGGTCCCTTTGACCCGGACAATGAGACTCAGGAGGAATGGGAACACCGCCTCTGGGAGGCAGGTTATTTTCCCCTCCCTTCCGATAATGTTAGGGAAACCCCCACAGTCGTTTCCAAAGGTGCTCTAAATAAATCCATGGTTGCTCCCTGGGGGTTATACTCTCCCGTATAACCCTAACTTGCCCAACATCATTGACCCACACCGTAGAACTAGGGTAGGGTTTCACATCAAATCCTTGGAGGATAGCATAGTTTTTCCTCTCCGCCCCCTCCTAGTTGGGGTCTTCCATGTCTTTTTTATTTTTCCCGGGCAGATAACCCCAAATGCCCACCAAATATTAAACTACTTTGTAAATATTTGTGAATTCCTTCAAATAAATCCATCTCTTCCCCTCTTCGTCTTTATGTTCGAAATCCTCCCCGGTAAAGCTGAATGTGAGGGTTTTGTTTTCTTCAAATCTCACCAAACCCGAGCGTTCATTTCCGATCTCCCCCAAAGCACCTGGGGGTGGAAAAACCATTTTATTTTCATTGACTTCCCAGAAGTTGATTTTACGCTGGCCGGTTTACGATGGAATGATCACCTGTTAAACCACGAGTATGCCCTACCGGCCAGTACTGCGCAGTTGGAAGCGGACTGCAAAAAACTCCTGCAGGGTAATCCCCATATCGGGGTTAAATTTTCCTTCAGAAGCTGGGTTCAGAGAGTTAACCGAGGTGGTGAGGGTACCTCGAAGGCCCGGCTGGAGGAGAAAGTGAAATAAGGGGTACCCGGCTTGTTGAAAGATGAAAAAACATGTTATCGAATTGCTAAGGCCCAGCAGCTAGCTAACAGACCGGACAAGGTCACTTTAAGAGATCATTTGCTATTTCATATAGATCATTCTCAAAGGAGAAAAGACACACACTTGGAAAGAAGTTAGAAAAAGAAAGATATGCAACACAAGTAAAAAATGCACACCGGGTGAATGACGAAAAAGCATTCACATTCAAAATGTAAGAGTTTGAAGTCGTTACAATATGCCCGGGGAAAATACATTAAAGACAACAGAAAGAGAAAACTAATCTAAGGGGAAGGGGGTGCCGGTTCATCTTCAAGGATTAGAGGGAGACCATACCAAGCTACAGGGAATTCTAGATCCCGGGCTGCAAGGATGCATTGGTCGCCGCCTGGTCTTTTTTTGGCCCATCTTGAAGCCAATGGTGCCCACTGTGGTGATTATCTTCCCTCCTTCCTGCTCCCGGTAAAGAAGCTAGAAGGACTCCATTGTAGCTTCCGGGGTAGATGTCAGGACCCAGGCGACTTCAGTCTTGTTCTCCTCCACCCACACCCGGGCCCAACCAAGCAGCTCCCGCTCCTTCAACTCCAGCACCTCTTTTAGCTGGGAGACCTCATCCATCAACCGGGTATTCTCCTTCTTTAGGTGCAGATTTTCAGCCCCAACCGTGCCAACAATTTTGGTAAGCTTCGCTAGCTCATCCGTTTGTCTCATGATCACGGACCTTAGCTCCCGGGCCCTTTTCTCCCCTTCTGTCACTTTCTCCTCCAGTCGGGCAATCCTGGAGGGAGAGCCTCCGTTTAACTGATCAGCAACATATGGCCCCACCTCACCAAGCTTCAAAATCATAAAGAAGAAACTTGTGTCGCATAAGAAAAAGGTCAAACACAAAAGATGGAAGTACCGGGTAGGGGAAAGGACTTACCTCTTTCAGCCTGAGGCCTAGCTGAACCCACAGCTCCTCCACGGAAGGAGAACCCAGTTGGCTATCCCCCCTCTTCCGCTTAGCAGAGGGATGGGTGGTGGCCACTTTCTTCACCCAGGGCTTTTTCCCCTTGTCGAGCGAGGGATTCTTCATTGCCTCCTGAGTCGGCTGGGTCTCCTCTTCAACGAGAATCTCAACGGTCTCGGGTTAGACCATGAAGGTTTTGGTAGAGAAAGCCGGCTAAGAGCCGCTTGGCCAGCTAGACCAGTCATTGTTGGAATGCCGTGAGAATCGAACTCCATATCTGAAAGGTTAAGAGAAATTGGTTAAGTATTGAATAAGATATTGGTACAAAAACAAAATGGACTATAACAATGAAATCAAACCTGAGCGATATGGGACCCGGCCTCTGCAATGTTGCCTTTCTCACCTCCTGGCATTCTTTGGTCCTGACCCGCATTCCCTACTACTGAGACCTATGCACAGTCTACCGCAGCTCGTCTCACTCAGAATCCAACATACAACCGAGGGTCAAACCCGCGAAAAAGTGAGAGTCAAAGCTAGATTCACGACCGCCAACAATGAGGAACTCCAGCGCGCACCTACGCCATGCAGGGACGAACTAAAGTGAATAGGAATGTCATCCTAGGTATGTTCTCACTATTTGATACTCACATGCTAGCACTTATTGATCTGGATTCAACGTTATCCTATATTTGTATCCATATGCCAGATAAGTCTAACATTCTTAACCAAAAAGTTAGTGGACAAAGTAAAATCTTCAAAGTTAACATTATGACATATCCTGACTAGGTATTGTCACGTTTTACTAAGTGGATAAAACCATACCTTATAAGGCTGGATCGTATGTGTCCAAGTGCATGAGCCCACAAATAATCATACCATAATGTGCACATGAGAACCCAATGATTACCCCGTGGGTCTAGGGTTCACTTTTGATTACTAGACCCGAGGTCACGGGGAGGTATCCGTAATAAAACTATGTATCAACTAGTGCGGGATTCCAGCCTAGACACAGCTTAGTCTGTAATATGTCGTTAACCTAGTAGGTCAAGAGTTTTCTAAATGTCCCCAAGTAATTGTTCAAAGTGAGATTTTTTTCCCTTAATGATTTTAATTATGTGAAAAGCTCTTAAAACTTGAATAACTTAAAATGGCCAAAATATATGTACATGTTATATATGTCTACTGGTGATTTCCCACTCGGCTTTATGCTGAGCGTGTAGTGTTTAACTGCACAAAGGTACTAGTAAGGGGAACAACTGCTGGGGAGAAATGGCAAAGACATGGAGGCCGTGCCGGAGTAACTATTTCATATTTAATAAGGAATAAACTGTTGAACTTAATTTACGTTGTTTTGGGCTTGAACCCAAGGTTGTATTTACTGTGGATGTTTTCACTTTAAGCTTATGCGAATAATCATGAACTCCTTAATTATCAAAGGAGAATTTATTTCAAACAAAATATTTTACAAGGTAAACCTAGTTTTGCTAGCACTTCGGTTTGGGTTACTTAGGTAACCCAGGGTGGGGTGTTACATGTTTTCGTTGATTGATTCTCATATGCTTGCACTAATTTATCCAAGATCCATGTTATCATATGTTTGCAATCTAGAGTATCCCATGATAATATCTAATCGTTAGGGCACAACATGCGACTACACCACCTATACCATAACTATCCGCTGATGGCTAAGGGACATTGTAACGCCGTGAAATTAGGCCTATCAGAATTAATTAATTGATAATTAATTAATTACTGAGAAGGACCCAAAAATAAGTGAACTATAAAGTTTATCAATAATTAATGAAAATTATATCGTTGTGTAGAGTTTGACTGTCTGACCCCAACGGTTAAATTGGATTTCAATTTGGAGAAAGTTGGACCAAAAAATGTACCCCGAGTGGGACCAGAAATTAATCCCAATCAGGGACTACATTCCAATCAGCGCTTACTGTACAAACGGCGCACTAGCCGATTTTGGTGACTCAGGAATATTTCATCAATGTCTTCTTCTTCCTTCCTCTATTTAAGAAATCCTAACTTCCTCAATCCTCCACCAAATCATCCCAAATTTCCTTCTATTCTGCTGCCCTGAGAGAGGAGAACACACTAGTGCGTTCAAATTCGTAAGACGTTGCCAGAGTTGAGAGCTTTTGTTGCCGGAAGTTTCACCGTCTTTCCGCCGAAATCATCGTTTAACATTAAGGTAAGCCCGTCGATATATCTAATGACTAGAATGTTCATATAGGTCGTTTCTATGTTCATAGATGGTCATTTGGTTGAGTTTTATGTTTGACATGCTTGAAGAACTAAGAATCAAAAACCTTGAATTTGTTGTTAAAACTTCGAATTAATGGTATTTAAATGATCTATGAACATTGGAGAACATTTCTATATGGTTTAATTGAAGATTGGTGACTTAAAATGATGTTTCGAAAATTTAACCCGAGGTTGAAGATGAAGCACTGTTGCTGATATACAGCAACGGTCGACCGTTCTGTCACCACGGTCGACCGTTCTAGGACTAGAAGCTTTATTCCCACGGTGGCATTTACGGTCAACCGTCGCCTAAAAATGGTCGACCGTTCCGAAGACAGTCAGCTGCAAAAAATGCTATTTTTGAGTTCTAAAATCCTATTTTTGATACCAATTGATTATGATCATTATAAAGATGATTTTTCATGATAAAAATGATGTTTTGACAACTAAGAGAACGTTACGTGATGCATGACGGTAAGCTAGGGTGTTAACACTCGACGCTAGGCCGCTAATTGTTATTGAATATTATGATGATTATTGTTATGGATGATTATGATGTTTTGATGATGAACCTACTGATTAAAATGATTATTGTGAATGATTTAAAAATATGATTTGTAATGATTACATTGATGATTATGAAATGATTTGGATTGATGAATTGTGTTGTTAAGGATACCTAGAAAAACTCTAGGATATACCCATTTGGAAATTGATGATGAACTATTAAGGATATCTTGAAAAACTCTAAGATATATCTCTATTGATATTGGTTTCTAATACTATCTAGAAGACCTCTAACATAGATTAGAAATAGGCCTTGCGAGTATGATGCCCGGTGGCTAGGGTTAAAACGTATGTGCGGGATCCAAAAACCAAACTTGAGTACCTACTCGTTTGGGGGTACCACCCAACCCAACAGTGAACACTACCCTGTCAGTTTTTGGTTGACCTTAAGCAAAGGTAAGTTTAAGATTTGAAAACTCTTTTTAAAAATATATATCTTAAGCTAGGCCTAGCTTAAGGATTAGAATATCTTCAAGGATGGAATTGGCCTTAGACTAATATTAGTTTAAGGATATTGTTGAATGTTGAATATTGAATATGATTATGATGAATATTGGGTATTTAATGATGAACGTTGAATAATGAATAATTACTTGCATGATATCAAATGGTTAAATTATGAATTGAGATTCTATTTATATGGATGTTCGATGTTTTAGATATGCTTACTCAGCTTCACCGCTGAGCGTGTAGTGTGTTTTATTTGCTACACGCAGGTAGGCAGAATGAATGGTTGGCATATTCCTGGAAGTGAAAGGGGCGAGACAGTCGTGGTGGATTATTGAATGAAATAAATAATTATGTTGTTATGAGACATATTTTCAAGTCGCTTCTGCATTTTATTTAAACACTTTGTATTTCCTCTATAGTTATGTATGGAATATTATTTATAATGAATAAAAATGTTTGAAATGTTTTAAATCATCACGATTACCAAATCAATACTTCTAGTCCGAAAGCGGCTGCAGACCTAGACAGATTAGGGTGTTACAGACATTGATTATCCGCGAATCTAATCAAGTTAGCATACAAGGAGTTTGATATTATCCTTATTATGGACCGGCTGACTGTGCACCAAGCAATAAATGACTACGTACTATACGGTTGTTCCCTAAGCCACCGGATTTCATGTCGTTTATGCAAGCTAAATGACTCATTCGAAAGACTCCCCCGATGTATTTCCCGACAACCTTCCTGGTTTGCCAGCGCTGATGCAGGTGGAATTCTTGATTGATTTCATTTTGGGGATGGAGCCAATCTCAGCGACACCTTACCGCATGGCACTTGCGGAGATGAAAAAGTTGAGGGCTCAGCTTCAAGAATTGTTGGACAAGAGATTCATCAGGACGAGTGTGTCCCCTTGGGGAGAACCAGTCCTTTAGATCACCTAGAAAATTTTTGGCTCAACCTAGGCATATGCATAATCCAAACGTAGTATGCCATTATTGTTCTAAGATAGGACACATAGCTCCCGTTTGTTTTGCTAAACATAGGGACACTTCTTATAATCATAATTATGATTTTTATTTGCCTAACCCCCAAGGACCTAAAAGCCATTGGGTACCTCAATGGTATTACTAGATACACAAAAGGGTGTGCTTGAAGACTACAAACCTGTAGTGGATGCTCCAAGCACGGAACCCAATGAACCGCATCAAGGGGGAAGCTCGTTTTACAATATTGTTGACAATTGATGCTCCAGGACATTTTCAAACATCGATGTTCAGTATCAAACATCAATGTTCAAGGAGTTCTTTTTTTTACAACTTTTTGAAGTGCTTTTTGCTAATGTCAAAAGGGGGAAGATATAAAGGTTATGCATAGATTGAGGGGGAACTATTTCTAAATTGCATTTATTAAGGGGGAACATTTTTTAAGTCTCAAATCAATCCTCCTATGCATAACCCCATCTTGTTTTCCATTATCAAAAAGGGAGAAATTGTTGAAACACGGGTTTATCACGTTTTCGTACTAAAGCCGTGTTCGTTGTTATGACAGGTTTTGATAATGCCAAACCGCCGTGAACGAGACAAGTCATTGAATATACAAGGCGAGAACCAAAGATGAGAAGAAAGAGAACAAGGGCCAAAAGAAGACCAAGAACGAAGACCGTAGTCTTAGTGTCGTTGAGTCGGTCACAATTGTGATCAAGACCGACCCAATCTTTACACCTTGGCTCTTTAGGCTAAAATTCTTTTCATTGCATTTCACATCATAAAAATATTTTTCAAACATGTTTAAAACTTTAAAAACACTTGGTGTTCGCCCAAACCAAAAACCAAGCCATCCGGCGTTCGGGTTTCAGAAACCGGCGTTCGGCATTCGGTTTTCGGCGTTGGTGTTTGGCGTCCGAACTAACCAAGTGGTTTTCAACTTTTTATGATTGGTTTTTACTTCTGGGCACATTTAAATAGTTTTCCATCAAAAACACTTCAAAAACCACCTTTCGTTTTTTGTCGTTTGATAAAAACCATGCGAAACGGTATAAACTTGGCTAGCCGTGGTTTTTACTTAAATGAAGTGGTTTTCAACTATTTTGTGTAGGAATTGTTTTTGAATGCATTTAAATGGTTATCCAATCAAAACATCATGAAAACCACCTTTCGGTTTTGTCTTTTGGTAAAAACCACCCGTGTACGACATTGACTTGGTCATCTGTGGTTTTTACCTTAACGACGTGGTTTTCAACATACAAAGCTTATTTTGAAATCAAAATACATTAAATAAGTGTTTTAAACACTTATTTTTTAGTTTGGAGAACTTTGCATTTTTCGATCGGGTTTCAGTGCCGGTCGGTTAAGCCATGGTTCTGGACTAGCCATCTACCCAGCGATGGTAGATTTCACCCATGCATGGGAAAGTGATCCCGGGATTCCAGAATCATTTCACCCAGCGATGGGAGATATTACCCATCGATGGGTATGCAGCCTTCAGCCCAATTGAATTCCAGAACCATGCCAAACAGCGATGGGAAGCTCTACCCATCGCTGTTCAAGCCTTGGTCCAACATTATCACAAGGCAGAATGCCCTTACCCAGCGATGGGAAGCTTTACCCATCGATGGGAACCCAGCGATGGGAAGGCTTAACCATCGATGGGAAGGCATGACCGTTGGAAGTCATTTAAGGCTGATTCTTTCCTTGTTTAGAAGTCAACTTCCCACCCAGCGATGGGAAGCTTGTAACCATCGATGGGTAGGTGACCGTTGGCTTCAAAACTGAAGGGAAATTGGCTTACCAGCGATGGGTGAGTCCAAACATCGATGGGAAGCCAATATCCTACAGATCCCAAATTTATTCAATCCCATAAATCAAGCCAATCACCCCTTTAATGTATTGGTCCGTTGGAGCCTTTTTTGGCACCTTAAAAAGGGGTGTTTGGGTCTGCTTTACACATCAAATTCACTTCACTTTATTCATATTATCATTGCATCCAAACAACATTATTTTCCATAGCTTTCTAGAGCCAATTTGTGAAGTTTGAGTTGTTCTTGAGCGTATATAGTTTACTCAACATCTACTCTTAAAGAGAGTCTTGTTCTTGAGTGTTCTTAGTGTTGTAAACACGTTTAAGGAAGCTTGTTTCCCTTGGTTGTACGAAGGAAAGGTATTTTCCTTCGGGTTGAAGTCTTGGAGTGCGGTATCTCCGAGCAAGTGTATTGAGGCTCGTGGGACTTGAGTTCTCAGGTTGTAACAGTTTGTTAAACACCCGTAAGCTTAACGGAAGTAGTGTAGCTCGAGAGAGTCTCTCGGGAGACTGGACTAGCCACACGTTGTGGTGAACCAGTATAAATCTTGGTGTTCTCCCTTTACTCATTTTTATTCCGCTCTTTACTTTATCCCTGCGATTTTTATTCCACGAAAATTTATAAACATTCTCGTGTCTCACTATTCACCCCCCCCCCTCTAGTGAAGGGCACTTATTCTAACACGTCTCCTTCTCCAATTCGAACTTCCCCAGCTGTATTCATTTGGGTCGGTCCAGGCCCAAGCCTTTGGGCTGGCCCAGGACCAATGCACACACATACGGGTACCCAAGCGCCTCTTGGGCACGAGATTTGGGCCTCCTGTTAGGTATCCGCCCATCAATAACAAAGGAAAAAAATATATCTTCTTAAAGATGTCACCTGAAAAACGGTTAAGTTGGATAAACCACAAGCTGAGAGGATAAAATGAGAAGATATATTAGAATGAATGAAAGGATTATGTGACTTTATTTTAAATGTGTTATTTGACTTTATTTTCGCTGAGAGTTAAGAGTACTCTTGTTTATTAAATTGTTTTTAGGTTCTTGTGGTTTATTAAGTTGTTCTAAAATATATTTGGTTTAATATCTTCCTATGGTTCATATACACTACTATTGTAGTTTTGTATTATACTTCTCGGCTGGGTTCAACTGACATTTGCTCTAAATGTCATGGTATGACCTTTTAAATCTAAGCCCTTGGATGTAATAACTTTTTAAATCAACGGATGAGATTAAATCATCACATTTTAGTGTTAGAAAAGGTGTGCAACTCTAGAGGGGGGTGAATAGAGTTGTTGAGAATGTTTACCGATTTTCACAGAATTAAAAATATAAACGTAAGTGCAACGGAAATAAAAGAGAGAAGGCAAAGAACACACCGATGTATATTGGTTCACCACCTCGTGGCTAGTCCAGTTCTCCGAGAGACTCTCTCGAAGCTATCACTACTTCCGTTAAGCTTACGGGTTCTTAACAAACCGTTTACAACTCGAGAACTTGAATCCCACAAGCCTCGACACAACCGCTTGTAGATATGCCCTCTACAAGACTTCACAACCAAGACTTAAGTCACATAAGTCTTGAACAACAAGAAGAACAAACTTCTTCAACCTCTCAACATAAACTCTCAAAAGAGTAGGAATGAGAAAATGTTTAGCTCTAATGGATGACAAGAAACCTCTTAATAACAAATAGTTTTCTTTCAAAATAATATAAATTTGAGGAAAGATTGATAGAGGATTAACACCTCAAGAATGAGAAGTATTGGAGTGTTTCTTGTTATGAAAAATGACCAAGGAAGTGTGTTTAAATAGGAGGTGGAGAAATATATCCGTTGGTCCAAGAAAAGAAGCTCGGATGAAAAATGCAGCATAATAATCGATTAATGCACTAACAGTAATCGATTAATGCAGTCTGCGAAGAGAAAGATAATCGATTAATGGAAGATAAAAAATCGATTAGTTGGCTCTGCCAGCCTTAATCGATTAAATGAAGAAAGAAAATCGATTAATGTTCCAGCCCAGGTAATCCAACGATAAGCAATTAATCGATTAAATGAAGACGAAAAATCGATTATTAACGAAATAATGCGCAAACACAAAGGGCCCAAGCAGTTGCGATTGGCAGCCTATTGGCTTGATACTTGTTGTTTGAGACAACGGGAATCAGGGAGCGCTCCTCCTCTCTATTCAATGAATTTGAATAAGTGAGTAAAGTGAGTCCAAAAATTATTTTGTGTGTCAAACGATGTACACGAAAAATATTTGAATAAAATATTTTTGCTTACCAAAAATATTTTATAATATCAAAATAAATATTTGATAAATGTTTGACACACTTTTTGTAACTGACTCAATAAAACTATTTTGAACAGTTAAAAAGATTTTTCAACTGACTCTAAAAATAAATATAATTTTTATTTTAACTCTCATAAAGATAATTTTGGAGAGAAGATATTTTTGTCATCCTTACAAATATTCCTACGACTCAAATAAATAAAAAAAGGTCTTCGGAAATCTTCTACTCCTCCGAGTCCTCCGTTAGGCGCTCTGAATGCGTCTCGAACTTCAACAAAATCCTGTGCACCTTCTTGAATATTTCAAGGAATGGCACTTCAAGTCTTCGTGTTTGTTGTTGTAGCACTTTAATCTTGACTTGAATAAATTGTGTTTGTCAATTATCAAAACTTGTGAGTCAACACTAAACAACACAGAAAGGGTTGAACTCATGCATTCCAACATATATATTTACTTCACCACAAATTAGCGGAGCCGCCTCATCCATCCGTCTCTGCTTCTCTCGTCTCTGGCAATCTCTTACGCCGATTCCACTCCCTGTCTGCAATCACTCTCGCGACGGAGGCTTTGCATCTCTCCCGGTGCCTTTGCATCTCTCCCGGCGAGGTAAGTTCCCCACACCCTCTCCTCTATTTTGACTTACTTCGAGATGGCCCAAATTTGTTTAACCCTAGTTACTTCCCCACACCCTATCTGTTTCTGATTCAAGGTTTAATTTATCTAGAATGTTGAGGGAACCATCCAACATTCAATTTGTTCTTGGTTTGAATTTTTTTAATTTCCATTTAGTTGAATTTGGTTTTATTTTTTTTTTGACGGAAAACCCCAATGTTGAATTCATGTGTGCGCTTTCAAGAACTAAAAATCCCATTTTGGTGCAACTAAAAATGTATTTACAGTAAATGAGATTATGTTCGAATTTACATTAAATGAGATTATTCGAATTTACAGTAAATGAGATTATGTTTATTTCTTGCTCTCTCTGGTTTATGGATGCTTCAATGTTGAATTTGAGTTTGTTCTTGGATTACATTTTTTTGAGTTCTAGAAAAAAAATCTAAAGTATGTTTTTTTAAATTTGTTCTTGTAGGACATCGATCGATCACATCCATGTAATGGAGTTGATGTGTGTTGATAAGCTAACGCCATTACAAATTTCTGACATGAGCACTTCCGATCCAAACATTGGTTTTTGTGAGTCGTTATCAACGCCAAAAAAAGTAAGAACTGCAGTGCATGATGACAACATTCCTAAGGTTGAAATGACTTTTGCAAGTGTTAAGGAATTTGAGGAATTCTACAAAAGTTATAGTTTGTGAAATGGTTTTTATACAAGAAGGCAGAGCAGTGTATGAGATGAACATCGTAGATGGGTGTGCCGAGCTGTGGGATTTAAAGATGTCCGGAAAAAAGTTCCGGATGACAGTCAAAAGAAAAAAAGGAAAACATCGTCCATAAGAGTAGGGTGCAAACACACAATTAGTTTGAAGTTTGATCCTAAACTTCAAATGTGGATTATCTTGTCATTTGAGGCCAAACATAATCACGCGGTGGTGACTCCGAACAAGGCTCATTTCGTACCGACAGGACAAGCAGTCGAGGAGAGTGGGCAACATGTGATAGAGTTATTTAAAGATCATGGCATACCAATTGGAAAAGTAGCGACATTGTTTGGGAAGGGGCGTTTTAGCAAGCCGAATTGTTACAATCACATGCGAGATGTACGGTCTAAGATTTTGGAAGTTGGTGATGCCCAAGGAGTTTTAGAGTATTGTGAAAGCCAAGTGGAGTTGGATCCTAGATTCTTTTATCGAATGCAAATCGATGATGAAGGGAAGATGTCTAATTTTTTTTGTGTGGATGCCCGTTCTAGGATGGCTTATAAAATCTTTGGAGATGTCATAGTCTTTGATACAACCTATCGGACCAACATGTATGAGATGCCTCTAGCACCCTTCACTGGTGTTGATAATCATAAGAAAAATATTTTATTTGGTTGTGCTTTGGTTATGGATGAGCAGCAAGACACTTTTGAGTGGTTATTTCGTACATGGCTTGAGGCTATGGAAGGGAAAGAGCCAATTTCCATTATTACGGATCAAGATAAGGCCATTTCAAATGCAATCCATGTTGTCTTTCCATCCGTTCGACATAGATTTTGTATTTGGCATATTCTTAAGAAGTTCCAGGAGAAACTTCCTCCTGCTTACAATAAAAGTAAAGAATTTAAAAATGAAATGCAAGCAATCATTCGAAGATCATTGTCAGAATCTCACTTCATTGAGCAATGGTCTGAAATAATTAAAAAATATGACCTGTTAGAGAATTCTTGGCTCAAAAAGCTATTTGACATGAAAAAGGAATGGGTTCCAGTGTTCACAATGGATACTTTTTTCGCAGGTACAATTTATTTATCTTATTCCACATCATAACTTTAATCTACATTAGTCAAAAATCATTTTTTTCATATCTTTATCAGATTTTTTTATACAGGCATGCAAGCAAGTCAACGAGCAGAGAGCATGAACTCCTTATTCAGTGCTAAAGTGAATGCGGGAACATCACTACAAGAATTTATTCGCTAATATGAAATTGTTATGGAAGATCGTTAGGAGGCGATGCGACGTGAAGATTTCGAAAGCTGACACAAGACAAGGAATTGTGATCGCAACTCATACCTCGAAGATCATGCAGCTGAGGTATACACTCGTACTATATACCTTGAATTTTATTCATAATTGTCCAAAGCGGAGAGGTATAGGTGCATCAAAGTTATTGATTTTGTCGTCCCTGATGAGGAGTACATTGTGCGACATGTGACAGACCCAAAAGAATTTTACACCGTGAACATAAGTGTAATTTCTGTTGAGGATGGAAAAGTTCATAATGTGGGATGCTCGTGCGGCCTCTTTGAGTGGAATGGTTTGTTGTGTCACCACATTATAAAGTTATTTAATTGCTTCACTGTGGTCCGCATTCCTGATAAGTACATTTTGAAACGATGGTGTAAAGATGCTAGTCGGCCTTTAGATGTGTTTTCAAATCTACGTGCAAAACAGAAAGGCGAAGTAGTAAAGAGGGTGTTACATATTTAGCCTAAGAAATTGCAAGCGTGGCAAGCAAGGATGATGGCACATATCAATTCACCAAGTCTTTATACCAAGAAAATCTGAGCAGAATTTTAAGTTTTATACATGCAAGTGAACAAGAGCAGCGTACTGGTGATATTGCGATTGTTTCGGGTGTAGGTTCTAGTCCTACATTACTTGAAAGTCAGACTACACAACCAAGCGTTCATGTTATTCTTAACCCTAACATTTCCAAGACCAAGGGGAGAAAGAATTAGAACAAAAGGTGGAAATCAAGCCTAGAAGTAGCAACAAGTGGCCAATGTCGGTGCGGTATTTGTCGAGCAATTGGACACAACGCAACCACTTGCAAGGTATGTAATTGTATCAAGTTATGTATATTACTTTCAAGGTATGTAAATGTATCCACTTATGTATGAATTTTACTATTTAACATATTTTTTTGCAGAAAAGAAATGATGAGGCTACTGTTCCAGATCCAACCAGAGAACAAGAATGAGTGGATTTAGAGGGCACAATTTTCATGATTTCTTGTTATGTATTTCATGCAATTCTTGTTATGTATTTCATGTCTTGAGAATTCCTTTCATTTGTGAAAATAATTTGAATGTATGTTGACTTGGTGATATTTAAGATTTGATCAATCTTTGGGCTTTCATAAATAATTTTTTATCATAATATTTGAGATTTGGTCACATTCAGTTTTTTAATCAAATTAGCGGTGCTCAATTAGACATTAATTTTTTGTTGTGATTAGGTGATGGTTCGTTTTGCAGTTTGATAAATCTTGGGGTGCAAAAGCTAACGAATGCAGTGACTAGTGTTTGGTGCCACTAAATGCTAAGTATATGAAAATAAAATATGGGATGTGAAGTCCAAAATTAGGCATACCAAATTGCCTTTATTTTAATGCTCCATTAGTGGTGTTTACTCTTTTTTTCTTCTTCCATCCTACAGCCACCCGAAAAGCATCTCAAACTGGACATTAATGCTACCAAGCTGTTGATACAAAATTGCACTATGAAGTGGTTCCTCTTAGAACCAACTCAAACTGGACATAAATCTATAGCATGCACTTGACATAAATCACACCCAAACGATACAATAGAGGAATAAATCAACGATACAAAAAGTACATAATTCCACACTACAACCACCGTGCATAGTACGTCCAACGTGCATTTTACATCCATAGTAACGTCTAGTTCATTACATCGAACTTTCAATTCACAAGATTTTGGTACAACAACAATGCTACCAATATTGCATTCTTGGACTGTACCTCTCTTTCAGGAACGTTGGCATCTATTACTTCTCTTTGTAAGTTCATGATAAGGCCTTGAAACTCCCTGGCAGTCTCATTGCTACTCATGGTGGCAGTGTCCTTAGTCTCTTCACATTTGTCATGTAGCCACTTAAAGAACGAACAATCTGATACATACTCTCCAGTGGGTACGTAATTTCAGACATGCATAGAATTTGTCTCCAAATGTCTTACGGGACTATTATTATTATTATTATTATTATTATTATCATTATTATTATGGTAAGGAATTATTTATAGTTAGTTAACTATTATTAGGAAATATTATATTTGTTAGGTGATTAACTAGTTTCCTAGTTCATTTAGTTACCTTTTATAATTAGGATTATTAATTATTTAGTTACCATTTACTATTGAGATTATCTAGAGTTAGAGCCTATAAATGTATTCATCACCATAGTTTTATCAATGAATGAATAAAGAAAATACTTTCTCCTAAACCTTAATCTCTTTCTTTCTCGCCTCTTTTGTTCTTAGAGCTCGAAGGTGCTTGAAATTATTCCCTATCCCGATACGATACCGTATCAATTGGTGCTTTCATTCTTGAACTCGCCCAAAAAATACAAAAAAAAAATCTACGGCACACGCAATGGATTCTCTGTTGGACAAAGTTCTTGGTTTACTCGAGAAAGTTCTACGGGGACAAATTGAATTTTATGAAGGCGTGTGTGCAGTTGAAGATTCCGTGGATGAAATTATAAAGAAACTTCAGGTATTCCGTCCAATTGGAGGTCAACCAAAATTTGATTCCGAGGTATGTGCGTTCTCTGTAGAGGCCTTTTGCTCAATACAAGATTTAGTTCGTGGTCTCCCAATTATGCCAAGCCTGATTCCTATAGAGTTATACATTTTCAAAACAACCATGATGCGCTCTATTAAGAAACTCATCAGCACTCCATGAGATTCGACCCTTCTTGTACCTGTGCAAAACACAACTTTGCAAGACCAGGAATTTAAAAAGAAAATTTTTATTGATCCTATTGGTGTTCCTGATGATGATTTTATGATAGATCCCATAGATGTTGTTCCTGTTGCCGTTGTTGATGTTGTTGTTGATGTTTTTTGTGACGATCAACGAGACCGCACTATCTAAGCAAAATATTCAAGCGATGGTATTATTTTTTATGGATGCACGGAAACATTTGGGATGTCAGAAAGTGACGTTGTTGTCCTTTATGATTCTAGGGATGTTACGCGTGCTAGCAATATTTTCTTCTCATTGGTTCTCTGGAGTTGTTTGCTAGGAGTTGTGAATGCTTTGAGCTTGGCCGAATCTTTTGATGCTCCATTCATAAAGGTCTTTGACCCCGGAGGATGTTCGTTCACAACGCATGATTCCTTGTTTTTTGTAGATTTCCAACTTGAGCACAAGTTGGTTTTCGAGGCGGGGAGAGTGTTACACGACTATTATTATTATTATTATTATTGTTGTTGTTGTTGTTGTTGTTGTAAGAAATTATTTATAGTTAGTTAACTATTATTAGAAAATATTATATTTGTTAGGTGATTAATTAGTTTCCTAGTTCATTTAGTTACCTTTTATAATTAGGATTATTAATTATTTAGTTACCATTTACTATTGAGATTCTCTAGAGTTAGAGCCTATAAATGTATCCATCACCATAGTTTTATCAATGAATGAATAAAGAAAATACTTTCTCCTAAACCTTAATCTCTCTCTTTCTCGCCTCTTTTGTTCTTGGAGCTCGAAGGTGCTCGAAATCCTTCCCTATCCCGATACGATACCGTATCAAAATGATTGTGCTTGGCGTGACATACATAGTGTCGTAGTGTGTCCACAATAACAATTAGGTCTTGAAGTTAGTGACTGCTCTTCAGAAGTAACCTCATAGCTCATTTTCTTCGCTCCACTTAAAGTGAACATCAAAATGTAAGATAAAGAACAAGAATGAGAACAAATTCAAAAACAAACATACTTTAGACTTTTTTTCTAGAACTCAAAAAAATGTAATCCAAGAACACTTGTTATTAACAGTGTCCTAAAATGGAGATGACAATATTTGATACATATGAATGCACCCACTTTGGCTATAGAGTATAGACACCCAACACCAAACGAATGATTCTTGATTGTAATTAAATCAGATTGGCTCCATAGCATTTTGGACAGTATATACTACTACCCTAGCCAAAAAACTCTTGCAGCTCTAAATGCATTATTAAAAAAAATACTCCCTCTGTCTCGGAAAAATATGAGAGTTTTTGTATTGGAGAGAGATTTAAGGAGAATGTATTTTGGAATTGAATTTCTAAAAATGTTCTTTGATGTGATGGGTAAAAGTATGATTTGATGGATAGATTATTAGTAAAAAGGTATGATGTGATAGGTAGGGTATGAAAAAGTAAGGGGTAAAAATGACTTTTGAATAGAAATGAGAAGTGTTTTTTGGAACGCATGAAAAAAAAAGGAGAAAGGTTTTCTGGGATGGAGGGAGTACATTTTTGGTTGCACCAAAATGGGATTTTTTAGTTCTTGAAAGCGCACACATGAATTCAACATTGGGGTTTTGTGTCAAAAAAAAAATAAAAACAAATTCAACTAAATGGAAATTAAAAAATTCAAACCAATAACAAATTGAATATTGGATGGTTCCCTCAACATTCTAGATGAATTAAACCTTGAATCAAAAACAGAGAGAGTGTGGAGAAGTAACTAGGGTTAAAAAAATTTGGGCCATCTCGAAGTAAATTAAAAACGGAGGAGAGGGTGTGGGGAACTTACCTCGTCGGGAGAGATGCAAACAAGGAGTGGAATCGTCGCAAGAGATTGCTAGATACGAGAGAAGCAGAGACGGATGGATGAGGCGGCTCCGTTAACTTGTGGTGAAGTAAATCTAAAATGTGATGATTTAATCTAATCCGTTGACTTAAAAAGTTATTACATCCAAAGGCTTAGATTTAAAATGTCATACCATGACATTTAGAGCAAATGTCAGTTGAACCCAGCCGTATACTTTTATGGTACATATTCATATTCTGATTTTTGCTTGTTAAATATACTTTGTTCTTATTTAAAAGAAAATATGCTTTTTCCTTGATAATCGATAAATAAAAGAAGAAGTTATAGCGAGAGAGAGCTATATTATTTAATAACTTTATTTTTATTTTTTCTTTAATTTGAATTTTTGAGTGATGTCTTCTATCATTTGTGTTGTCTTTTATTTTTTATTGATAAATTTACATATATGAAAAATAGTTTAGAGACAATAATGTTTTGAGTTTAAAAACAAATTTATTGCTTATGACAATGATCAATATATTATTCTGTGCTAATAAATTTATAATCATGATAATAATGTTTAAAAAAATTTATTTTTATTTTATTTTATAATTTTTTAATTTAAGTTTTTGATCAATTTCATAAATATAATTAATGTTAGTGTAATGTATGAATTTTTAAAATAATAAAAAAACCATGGATTATAAATAATCTACTAGAATCTTATGAAATCTCGTGATAAAATACAGTAAAATCTATCTAACTCTCTGTAAACTCTAAATAATTCATTGAATTTACAGAATGGACAGATTCTAAACAATCTATTAGAATCTAATAAAATCTAGATTGAATATACCCTCTTTCCTAAATGTGAAATGATACTTAATCAATAAGGATTACAAACATAATATTGGTAAATACTCCTTTGTCCAACAATTATCTTCTCATTGCGCATTACGATATTTGACTAAAATTATTTTTTAATCATTCGATTTGAAAAATGTGAGGGATTAAATAATAAAAATTATATATTTAAAAATTATATCAAAAGTTCACAAAACTAAAGATGACATGACCATATTATTTCATCAAATATACAACAAAAATAGGCCAACAAAGCATATCCAAATATAAAATTTGATCACGTTAATAGTGAAGAAGAATATTATTGTTGAACGGAGGAAGTATGAATTAAATAAAAATATCTTTAATTGTAAGAAAAAAAGACTAAAGTAGGAGTAAAACATTGAAAATATATTAAAATAGGAGTTTCATATTTTTATTTATGAAATACGAGTCAAAATGCATTTACATTATCAATCATAACCATGTACATTATCAAAAAGTATAATAAATTGTACATGTGTAGTGTCACATTACCATAGTGCGAATTTCTATTTAGGAAGATTAAATTGAAAATTCTATTTTGATACTTTCTATATGTTTTTATTCTTATTTAAAGTGATTCCTCTCCCTTTCCAACCAAACGCCCCTTACACCCCTGAGTAAACTATTACTCCCTCTGTCCCCTGTATTTGTCCACTTTCATTTTTACACATCATCCAATGCACTTCTCTATTTAGGCTTACACATTGAGAGAATTTGATGAGTCAAAATGCTTACATGAACCGTTCAAAAAGTCAAATGTGAACAAATACAGCGGAAGCGGAAGGAGTAATAGGAAGCGCCCTTATTCAAAATTCAAACGAAGGGACGCGCAGCGGACCGTTTCCCCGTCGGAGAGCCTAAGTCCGAAATTGAAATTCCCAATCGGTCACGCCTTCCCTATTTTGAAGTTATGCTGTGCGATGTCTGGTAAACAGTGGCTAGCTTCCTACACAACTAAGCTCTCTCTTCTCCGTCTCTATTGATCTACATACATATGTACGCAATTTGTCTTCTCTCCTCTCCCACAGCGAGTGAGCTTTTCTTGACGAGTTTCCACTCTCTACCACTAACCGCAGCTGTAAAAGTTCTACACTCACGCATACACAGGTTATAAGAAGCAGAAGCAATCAAATATTCAGCAAACCGGCAGAAGTCTTTTTTTTTTATCAGTTTTGAATTGAATCACATAGTGCTGGAAGTTTGCAAGGGAGACGATGAGACGCCATGGATGGCAGCGTCCTCTCCATCCTCTACAGGTTCTTTTGTCAATTGCTTCTGATTCTTTGTCGCCAAGTTAAATAGAGTGATTTTATGGTTTGTCAGTGTGGGGATTTTACTTTATCAGTTTGGATCTAATTGTTAGATTTAGTGTATCCGAAGATTCATGTAGAGAACTGTAGTCTGTAGAAGCACAGAATGGATGCTAGCAGCTTTTGGTCCATGCTAGAAAATCACTTCTTGTTTATGATTGCTGAAGGACTGAAAGTGAGTTTTTGAACTGATTTTTGTTCCCAACTGACTGCAGATCGTGGGCATGTCTGTCTTCTTTTTCCTCGTCGCAGCATTTTATTGCTTTCTGGGGCTTTTCCTTGGCAACAGGATTGCTGAAATTGCCATCACCAGTATTTTCTCCTTTGTGGTAATTTGATTACTATCTCGAAAAAGTTGTGTGCCAGGATGTGTGTGCGTGTGTGTATTTCCTATTCCGTAATGAATAATAAAAAGAGGTTTGCACCTCAAATATAAGGGTCCCTGCCTGCCTCCACCCCTAAAATGTTGATGAAGTACTTAAATGGTCCAGCAACTGGCCCAGGAGACATGGTCTGGTTTATGGGGTTTGATCTCCGGTCACCCTGTTGATAAGGGAAGGCGAGGATCATCAGGCAATTAGAATCCCTAAGAATAATCATCACTTTAGAGGAGGGAGTTATTGTTTTGTAAAATGGGAGAACATGTTAAAAAGCATAGATAAATATAATTCTTTTTCTTATGGTACTGCAGGCCTTTTCTGTTGCATTCCTATTCGTAAGCTGTGCCGCTCTTGATCCTACTGATAGGACCGTATATAGAAAGAAAACTAAGGGAAAATCCACTGCATTTCGAAAGTTAAATTATGGCTTCCTATTGGCTCAAGTTGTCCTAAGGGTTTTCAGGAAGGTAGAGCGGAAAATTCTTGGAACTTTTATAAGGAGAAAGTACCCAAGTCTTTGGAAAAGTAGCCTTCTAAGGGAGCCTTTGTTCTCGTTCCCCCTTGTTATCGATGATTCAGTTGCACCCGAGATCAGGGAGGATGAAATTTCTTTTTGCCTACTCTGTGATTTTGAGGTTTGTCTTGATGGAATTTGTTGACTAGTTTCTACTTATTTACCATCTTCAGACACCCTATGAAAATTAAATTTTCTATGCTGGGACTGGATGACTTGCAGGTGAAAAAGTACAGCAAGCACTGTAGAACTTGCAATCGTTGTGTTGAGGGTTTTGACCATCACTGCAGGGTAACAAAATAAGTTTTCCACTTCACTAAATGTGCCACTTTGCTTATAAGATGTGCCTAATAATGGGCATTTTATGTATTGGCATAATTGCAGTGGTTGAACAACTGTGTAGGGAGAAAGAACTACACAACCTTCATTCTGCTGATGGTTTTTGTCTTGACAATGGTTGTAACTCGATTTCTGTGTACAGCTCTAATGCTCTATGTATCTGTTCCTGCACGTTTATTGCTAAGAAATGGTTTTCATTTCGGAATGTCTTATGCAATGCAGCTTATGATTGAAGGAGGAAGTGCTGTTGCTATATTTGTCAGGTGCTTTGTTAATAGGAAAGGGATAGAAGAAGAGTTCAAGAGCAGATTCCATTTAAAGTTTCCCAGAGGAGTTCTTGCAACTGCATCGGTAATTCTTTTGAGAGCAGATTTGATTGTCTACCTTCCAAAATTTCTCTAATTTTACACTATGTTTGGTTCAAGGAATTTGAAAGGGAAAAGAAAAGAAAATGAGTGGGAAAATAATTTTTAATGTTTTGTTAGAGAGGAAAAGAAAAGAAAATGAGAAGGTAAAATTACTAAGAGGGAAAACCAAATTCCTCCCGTCTTGGTGAGGAAAACGAGAGAAAACCATTTTCTTTTCGTTTCCTTTCAAAATCCTCGAACCAAACATAGTGTTAGAGTTATGATAACATGTCAAGAACTAATCACTCTATGTGTTACTTTTTACATGTAACCAAATATTTAGAGTAATACTCATTACTCCCCGAATGGGTTTGTTATACGTCAAAGGGTATGTCTGACAATTCGTGTAATATTATTCTCCAAATACATTACAACAACAAAAAATAACAAACTCAGTAAAATTCCATAGAGTGAGGTCTAGAGAAGGTGGATGTACGCAGACCATACCCTTATGTGGAGTTGAGAAATTGTATCCAAGAGACCCCAGCTCAAAACACACCCTAGGAACCCGAAGTACACTCTTCATTCTCTAATTACAGTGGACATTTAACTTTTGACTTCCCAAAATGGAAAGATGGACAATTAATCCGGAATCCTGATAGAGGGAGTTTTAGTTTTTCAATATATGTATGGACGGTCACTTCTATCAGTCCAGTAATCAATGCACATCTCAGGTTCTATTGTTCTTGATGAGCACATATGGTGCAGCAGCACTGGGACAACTTTTTTTCTTCCATATGGTTCTCATCCGAAAGGGGATGAGAACCTATGATTATATTTTGGCAATGAAAGAGGAGAACCAATCTATGGAGCTGGAATCACTTGAAGATTCAGAGTCTTCTTCAGATGAGAGTATTGACTTTGGTTCGCCTGAGAAGAAGCAGCCATTTACCTCCCAACTTAAATGCTCAGGAGGAAGAAGAAAAACCCAGGTGTAGTATTGCCTGTTTCAGTCAGTACATCCTCTCATTTGTTGTCTCACTTTTACATTCACCTGATAGGTTATTTATTTGTACGTGTTCAAGCTTCGGTAAATAAATTTCTTTTGCTTCCCACCGAGGTGTGTTGTCGTCGTTGTATTTATAAAATGTTTCATTGCAGAGCCCTCACAGGTTATCCATAAGAATAGACGGAGAATCTGAATCGTCCAAGCTGATGAAAAAACTGGGTTCCCGGGCAAGCATTGATCCGTGGAAGCTGATAAGAATGAGCAAAGAGAAAGCACTACACGCCGCGGCGAAGGCAAGGGAGCGGCTTGTAATGAATCAAAAGGAATTGGGTGATGATGATCATGCACTGAACTTGAAGCCACTGCCTCTAGAAACAAAGAGAGGGCCTCTGATGCAAAATGACAAAGATGGCATTACGCCCATCATCATCTCCAATGGACAATTCTCAAGCCCGAGGAGGAGATTCTCTTATTCTCCAACATTATTAACGCCGAAACAGAGGTACAGAAGTAACTTCGATTTGAAATTAACACAGGTCTCTACACAGCTCGAGACTTACATATCAAGGCAGGCATTGTCTTCTGTTTTGACCAAAGATGGGACACCATCAACATAGCTGAAAGGAAGAAAAACGGAAGGGTCTGGGTGGACTGGTCATTGTTTTTCATTCAAGTGTTTATGAGATGTAAAGCAAAACATTCACAAACGGAAAGATAGATGATCACCACCTCTGTTTTCAAGATTTTCTACAACACCCTTACATTTTCTCTCTTCAAATTGAACCGTTTCTTTTTTACTTGTGTACCGCTTGAGCCCGGTTTATTCTTTTTGGAATCTGCCAAGACGACGACTTTGCTCGAATCGAAGCTTCTTCTACAATTGTTCGTGTGCAGAACTATAGGATGTAAGATAAAAATTATTCAATTTTTGTGAGCAATTTTTTGAAATCTAGCAAATTCTTGAATGCTGCGTCCTAGGAGATTTGAATTTTGATTGGAAGTTCTCTTTTTTGTTCCAGCCAAGGAAATCTCTAACCTGTTCGTTGTACGACCAATATTTTGAGACAGTCAATGGAAATAATTTAGGTAGGGTTTGGCAACTTGCATTTTATTTCAATTCATGTATTTCAATTCGAAAATTTGAAGTCTTGAATTTCAAATGATAAGGGGAGGTGCATGGATTTCAAATTATGCTTTGTTACGAATGAGAAGAATTTGATTCAAATTCAAATTCAAAATTTTTAAGTTTCTCAAACATAGAATTTGAGCCAAATCCGGATTTGAAATCCAAATCCATGTTTCCAAACATACTATTATTGAATTTATAGTACTACTTTCGTTTTATAAAACGATTCTTATTTTGATTTTAAGAAAAAATAAGAAGTGTATATTTTGTTCCTGATGTGGGTAAAAGTAAGATGAAGATGTGATGGATAGGTTATAAGTAAAAAAGTATAATATGATAGATGAGCATGAAAAAATAATGATAAAAGTGATTTTTTAATAGAAAGTGGAAGTATTCTGGGAAAACAAAAAAATAAAAAAGAAAATATTTTAAGAAAAGGAGAGAGTATATTTCCTTTATATATAAATTTGAGAGTTTGGTCTCTAAGAGAATGATATGCATCAAAATTGACAGAGTGACATTTGTTAATATTTAGAAAATAACATGTGGTAATCTTTAAAGATTTATTTTCTTTTTTAGTAATTCATCTCCTTCTCCTTCCTTCTTCAATTATTTCATCCTTTTTACTATTTTTTAAAAAATGATAACTAATTATTCTGAAATCATGAATCAAAATTTAGAATTAATAGAATTTGTAAATTTTAATAAAATTTTATTTTATCATAAGTATACATGAATATTTTTTAATACCTGGCTCGGATTTAATAAATTATAAAATTTTCGAACAAACTTTTAGGCATATGAATGTTTTTTAAAAAATAAATTGTTGTAATCATGTCAATTATAATCACACAATTCATCAAAAGATCTAAAAAATCATGTTATTTGTCAAATGATCAACAAAAACATATTTAAAAAATTAGTCAATAGAATTAAAAGCAGAACAAATTAAAACAAAATTAGAATTTCAAGCATTTATTAAAATAATCAGTCAATAAGATAAAAAGGAAAGAAAATCATTTTTTATAGAAAAGTTAACAGAAAGTAAACAAGCTAAAACAAAATGAAAATCTTTAGCATTTATTGATAATAGTTTGATCTACTTATAATTATAAACGTATTTAATACAAAATAAATTTAATAATTTTTTAAAAATATATCAACTACTGAACTTAAATTTTATAAAGATTTCTCTTAATATATAATAAACCGTTTCTATAATAAATAAGATATTCTGTCCACCTCTATAAATTTTCCAATTCTTTAATTTATACGGATAATTTGATATAAAGAAGTTACTTACTCTATCCGTCCCCCAGTTTTTGTCCACTTTTGACTTTTGGAATTGTTCATCTAAGCACTTTGACTCATCAAATTCTTTCAATGTGTAAGCCTAAATATAGTCATGTGTGATCTTGTTTGATTTGTCTTAACATATAGATTATTAATATATAATTTCTATAATTTTTTAATATACAAATTAGAAGATTAAATGGATTAAAGAAGTGCATTGGATGGTGTGCAAAAATTAAAGTGGACAAAAACTGGGGGACAGAGGGAGTATTATTATATATATTTAAATAAAAAATATATATTTAAAATACAAATAGTATTTAATAAAGAATCATTACTTCTTTATAGATAAAAATGATACTTAGATCACTAAGTATATATTTAATAAAAAAATATATTTAAAAGAAAAATATATATATATATTAAGCAAACCTTTTATTATACTACTTTATCAAATAGTATATATTTAGACTAGAAGAATATTAATATAATCCACATAAAAATTTAAGACAAATAAAGAATCACTAATTCTTTATATATAAAAATCATACTTAGATCACTAAGAAACTAACATATGTCATTTTTATCCAGCTTTTTTAAACACTGATAAGTCGGGTTTAGTTTGGTTCTTTTTATTCTTTTTTAGGCATTTTTAATATTTTTAGACTTTGATTTTTAGTTGTTTAGCTTAGTTTTATTTTAATTTTCATTTTTTAAATCTTTTATTTTTCTGTCATAAATAGTAGTTTTTAATCATTTCTTTTTACATTTTATTATTTTTATTTTTATTTTTATTTTTTCTAACCCAAAATTATCAGATATCTTATTTTTTGGAGAAAAATGTAACAAAAGGCCAAAACGAAGTTCAAGTTTGAATTGAGGAGTTGGAGATGAAGGAACCGCCAGAGCTTTTGACGCCGCCACCATAGCTGGGGAAATCACACGGAAATAAAGCAGCAGCCAAGCTGCTGCAATGACGGGTAACAACGAAGAGAAGTGAGCAGCGGCCAAGCCGCTGCTATGCTGGCGGCCGGCGACAAGGCTGAGTCTGGCGGCAGTAGCTCCGGGCAGAGGCAAGACCATGGTTCCTCCATCACGGCTCCAATTCCTTCAATTTGTTCATCCTCTTCAACAATTGGTAACCCTATGTTTGTCAATTTCTTTTTTCTTCTCCAATCCTATGTAAAAGTTTGTTTTTGATTCAATTTTACATTTATTATTTGTTAGTTTGTTCCAAAAGTTCTAAAAAAATCGTTGGTGTTCTTCTTTTATGGGTTTTTTTAGTGTTTATATTAAATCCCTTATGAATGAAAATTGAGTCAAACTAGTTTTCTTCAATTATTGAGCAAGTTGTTGAATTGGTTGAATTGCATAATTTGATTTCATTAGTGGGTTGGTATGTGGAATTCGGTTTTTGTTGAAGCTATTTTAGCTCCATAAAGTAGTTAAATGAACTCCGAATTCATACGTGATTCTTTGTTGTGTTTGTGTTTGTTGATTTTAAGAATTTTGGACTTCTTAGCCTCATAAGTTGATTCATTATGCTTTGAATTCGTTATTAAGTGATAGTGTATGTTTTCATGTGCTTCTTTGTTATTTTCATTAAAATTAAGGTTATTTAAGCTCAAAAATAATTCTTGGTTTATTGAAAATATGTCGTGTTCATTTATGTGAATAGAAAATACGTCATTGGTTTGAGAAGTTCATGGAAATCTGTGAAATGTGCTCATGATTAGGAGTAAAAGTTTGTTAAAATGCATAAGGTATTGGCGATTTGTGAATAGATTATATATGGGAGTTGAATGCATAATAGATTCTCTCTTTTATAAACTTTTTCTATAGTGGAAGTATGTTTTCATGCTTGAATAGAGAGGTTGGGTTCTAAGGTATATTTCAAAACAGGCCTTTGAATTGCATGACTCCGGGCCGTATGGAGAGTTGACAATCCTTCATATCGTGGTTAAGGAAATGAATCGACTCGGCCTTTGATTGATTTTTTCTATTCTTAAGTGCGTAAGTTACGTAATATATTGTCTACGTGCCTATTATACGTGTAATGTTCGGCTTCTGTTCTCTTTTTTATTTTGTTTTGGGTTCTTGGAGGTGTTTCTTGGGTTACCCTTGTTGGAGGAGTTGATTATCTTTTGAGCTTGTTTTCCCCCATTTTATCAAAAAAACAAAAAATAAGAAAAATAAAAAATAAAAAAAAATATATTTACTTTTCATCCAACAACCCCCCTTGTTATGTTTTAAGTTTTAGTATAAGTGTTTGTTTATAAGTTATAAATATAAGTTCTTTATACTAAATAATTGTAATTATCTATTAATTACAAGTATTATCTATTAATTAAAAGTTTTACTAAGAATCAAGAGACCAAAAATAATTGTAACCCATGTATTGTTTTATGACATGTTTAGATGAAATTAGATTTGATTCTATTTATTTTAATATTGATGTAAAAATAAAACCAAACAATATATTTAAAAAACTACATTAAGAAAATATAAAAAAAGATATAACTTCACCATATTTTTTAAATAGAATATGCTTTTAAATAATAAATAAATATATTCGTAATTTCTTGTAATATGTTTAGACAAAGCCCGTTTAATTGAATTAATTTAAATATTTACACATAGTAAATAAAATATTTTCCTCACCTATAAATAAATCTCATATTTTTCTAGAACACAATATGCCACCTAATTTAGGACATATAAAACGTAAAATCAATTGATGCTCCGACATAAGTGCATCGACGTCGTCCAACCAATCTGTAATGTTTTTGAGATTCTGATAATATGTGGCCATATGAGTAGTTCCTTTGATGATAGTACGAAATTTCTGTTCCAATTGCATAGCACGTGCATGTTTGTTGTCTTGAAACAGATCGTGAATTACTGTCTAGAGAGTAGAGGCAGTATAGGCAGAAGATCCTTCTCTTCGTCTCTTCCTCTTCTGTTTTGAAGTCCTACCAGGCGGGACCGGCTGTGAAGGTTTTGTATACTTCAAATGTAACGCCACGAAACATGGCCTAAATTTTATAAAACAAAAGTAGTTTTGAATATTTTTGTCCAATAAGAAACATTTATACGTTTGACTAAAAATAAATGGATTTTCAAAATAATGACTTTTTATTAAAAACTTACTTTTATGGATATGTCTCGAAGAGACGAATCCAACGGTACATTTTATGAACCAATCTGATTTATAGATTTGAAGATATGACGATTTTAAATATTAAAATTTGTAACTTTGACCCATAAAATAAACTCAATTCAAAAGAGATTTCATAAGATTAGAAATCTTAATTTTTGACACTTGACAACATCATATTAATCATTTGGATTTAATTCATATATTTTTATATCATTTATATTATTATATTAATTTATGATTGAGACAGATCCGAACACTGAGAAAAAAATAAAAGTTCTCAGAAAAATATTTTGATTACGTCGAAATTCTAATTTTGACAGTCTTATTCCAAAAACACAATCTGTTTTCAATTCGGAACAATTTGGGCGAAAAAGCGCGTACCGTTTGGAATAAACTGTTCAGTTTTGACAAGAAGCCAAAACTTTATTTTCCCAAATCCCTTCCAAATCACGTAGCCACTCTTTTGCTCCACTAGCCACCACAATTTTCCACTAAAGTCAAGATTTCCAATATAATACTCCACCTCCACCACCAGCATCATCATTATACACCATCATCATCCATCATCTCCTTCATCCATTCCTCCCTCTCCATTTTCTCTCTCTGTCGGCGAAACAAAAGGAAAAGAAAAGAAAGCTTAAACTCCATAGTTGGTTCAAGGAAGAAGAAGAGGAAGCAACAAATCATCTAAAGTTCTAAAATCCTGAGTTCAAACACAGCAGCCCACTTCTAGGTAAAAACTGAAATTTTTTATCCATTATCTCGAAATACTTTCTGAACCAAAGTTGTAGCCTCGGACAATACGAATCCAGCCCAACAAACGGATCGCGATTTCGTTAAGTAACGAAGAAGATATGGCCAAAATACCGGGACTGCGCCAGTGGTGGCGAGCTCCTCGGGTTGGCATGTGTTTCTTCACCAAATTCATATTATTTCATTCCAAATACTTACCATAAACTCTCTAACAATTATTAGGAACATCCGGAAGGTATCGTAGAGAAGGTTCAGCATTGGAATGTTGAAGTTAGTGAGTTAATCGTCGGAATCGTGTTCATCGACATATTCAAAATTCTGGACAGCTACTTTCCCTTGACTTCAAGTCCGATTTACGCTATCTTACATATGTTAAATCGAAATACTTTCTATACGAAAGTTATAGCCTTACATCTTAGGAATCCACAGAATCAAACGGTTTACAATTCCGTCAAGAAACAATGGAGATATGCCCAAAATACCGCAGGCTGTCCAGTTGTGACGGAAATGACAAAGTTGGCGAATTTTGATGTTGTTTCCACTCCCGCTCATCCGTAAGGTTTCGGCCTATGATTTCCAGGTCTGTACCTTTGCGTTAGACATGTCGAATCATTCATCACATACATACATGAACATATATGTTATTCCATATGTTAAAACCATTCCAAAATATACATGTGATACATATATAAGTTATCTATATGTTGAGATCAAAATACACCAAATCCATAAAGTTAATATACAAATAAGTAAATATAAACTTTGGAAATCAACCCAACAATATGTATATGTTAATCAAAGGTGCTTAAAAGACTTAAAGAAGTATTTTGGACACTCAAAATATCAAGAGAAAGATTCGCAGACCCAAACGGTCGACGCAAACGATCGACCGTCGCGTTAAACATCGAAATGGACCCTGACTGTCAGACAAATGGTCGACCGCCGGTGGCCAACGGTCGACCGTCGCCTGCCCAGCCGAGAATCGCCGTCGCCATCCAGTCAACAACGGTCGACCGCCGGTCAACCACGGTCGACCGTCACGGTTTTCCGCCAGCGCGACGTAATGAAGGTCGAGGTCAACCATCGCGCCAAACGGTCAACCGTTCCGAGCCTCGTAGCTTAATTAAATGATATTTTTATCAGATTTCACCCAAATAAAATAAAGTATATTCATCCAATCATATTGTTTACAAATTGTTCATATCATATGATTCATTTCATCACACATATTGTAGCGTATCATATCATATGCATGCGTAAGAGATCATGCGTAATTGCGTCTCTTACAGCGTGATGTGCGGGACTTACTAGTCCGACATCACCCGTTCCGGGCTTAGTGTACGTACATGGTATTCAGGTTTCGAGTACCACCCCTATTTTTCTAGTCTCACCTCATTCGTGAGACTAAGGCCGCGTGAGTTCGTCGTACCAAATGGGCGAATCTCATAGCGCAAGGGTGTCCTTGCAAGTTATAGGATCATGCATCATGTTATCATCATCAAGTACATTGATTACATAGGTGTCATGTAATCATCATCAAGAACAAATATATTGATTACATAGGTTTCATGTAATCATCATCAAGAACAATTATATCTATTACATCAGTGTCATGTAATCATCCTCACGAACAAGCAAATTGATTAAATGTGCCATCATTTAATTATCAATAAATATTTATCATCATGAATCATCAAATTGATCATATGATATAATGTGCCATATCATGAATATTATTATACACCTTGTGGACGTATATATATGTATATGTATATGTTTGTTAATTATTCTAGAATTCTAGCGTGGTACCACTCAGCGGTTTCGCTGAGCGTGTAGTTTGTATTTTCCGTTGACTACACGTAGGTAACAAGAGGACAATGAAGGAACCACTCCCGGAGGGCATTGAGTCAGAGGAGATGCAAGGATGGTAGGCAAATGTTTGATCATCAAAGATTTTAAATGTGTCATGATTTAATTATTATTGTACTTCCGCATTACTCTGAAAATATTTTTAAATGGGTCGCGATCCAGAGTCTGTAAATTTAATATTTATAAGTAATTGTCATTTTCAGATGTCAAGCGAAATTTTTATTTAACTCTCATTTCACCTTAATTCGTGTAATTCCGGGTTATACGGATTGGGGTGTTACATCAAAGGCCGTACCGGTAGGAAATTTATTTCCGACGTCCCCCAAAGTATCCGGGGATGGAAGGAAAAATTTGTTTTCATTGAGTTTCCCCCGTTTGTCACTCCATTGGCCGGTCTGAAATGGAACGACCATCTTCTAAACCATGAGTATACCGTGCCGGATTCCTCTCGTGATCTTGAAGCGAGTCTCGAGATCCTTCTTCGAGGCGACCCGTTAATCGGGAGGAAGTTGCACTACGGGAGCTGGGTCTGGAGGGTCGAATCGGGTGGTGAGGGTACCTCCCAGGCCCATGAAGCAGCGGGGCACGGGGTACCCTCCCCGGGCAACACTGCAGAGGCTGAGGGCAACTCCCACCTAGGTATTTATGATTCACTTCGTACACTTCTTTTCTTAACCGGTCACGTTTGTCATACTTAGCGATTTTTCTGGTTTTCGCAGACATGGAGTTCGAGGAATTCGCCATTCCTGACGACCAACCAGCGGGAGAGACCGGCGGTTCTCAAGGTGCTTCCGCCAAAACTTTCACGGTCCAACTAGAGATCGTGGAAATCCACGATGAGGAAGAGCCTGAAGATGACCGGTCCAAAGGGAAAGGCAAAGAGAAGGCCGATCGCCGGACCAAGAAGGTGACCACTACCCATCCCTCTTTCAGCAAGAAGAGGCAAAGAGCGGATCCTAACACAGCTTCCCAATCTGTTGAGGAAGCCTTCATTTACGTCGGTCTGAAACTGAAAGAGGTAAGTTGAATTTGATTCCCCGGTTATTTCGGTCTCCATTTTTCATGAAACTTTAACCGGTTGTGTTGTGCATGATGTAGGTTGGAAAAATCGAACCCTTACTGCGGACCGGCTGGGGTTAGGCTCTCCTTCAGAACTTGACCGGCTGAAGAAGAAGAAAGAGGAGATGGCCCTCATCTTGAAGAGTCAAGCAGATGAGCTGATTAGGCTATCAGGGCTGGTCGGGGCGATGAAAGAGGAGATCTCCCAACTCAAAGAAGAGAATGGCCGGCTGATGGACAAGGTGTCTGAAGCCAAGAGGGATGTGGCGGAGAAGGAAGAAACTTCCCCAAGCGTCAGCCGCCTGGGTTGAAGAAAACAAAGCTGACGCTACCCGGGTGCTCACGGCGACTCCAGAGGCAACCATGGAATCCTTCAGGATGCTGTACCGGGAACCTCAAGGAAAGAAGATGATCACTGCGATTGGATCGTTTGGATTCAAGAGCGGTCAGAAGAAGGACCAGATTGCTTCTCACCGGGTCTTGCTGAGAAGAGACCCAGATTTCAGCGTTGCCTCCTACGGCCTGGATCCCATCCCAGAGGAAGAGCCTACTACCCCCTTCTCCTTAGACTAGGATCTCCTCGACTGCGCCCGGTTGTTTCAATTTGTCCCCTTTTAACAACTCTCAATTTCCCCGGGTATGCCCGATGTATTTTGTAAACATTTTAGCATTCAACTTTTAATGTTTTTAATGCATGTTTACTTTTCCACCCGGCCATAGTGGTTTTCTCTCTGAATGTTTCTCTGACCGGTACACCTGCAAGCAATCTCTTCAACTATTACTTTTGAACATCTGATTAACTGCTGCCAGTAGAACTTCAACTTTTGCTTTTGAATGTCTTTATCTTGAAGATCAACTTGAATAATCTTGACCGGTTGAACTTCGACTTTCGCTTTTGGATACCTTCTTTCTGACGATTGACCGGTAGTTTCCTTCTTCATGGTCCTACCAGTTAAGTGATTTACCTCGACGAACTTTCGAAGTTCAATTGTATTGATACCCAACCGGGGTATTCCTTTTTCTTGTTTCACCGGTAGGTTGTAGATGGAAACACCTGTAACCTAGTAATTACTTGAAGTATCCTTAACCGGTAAGAATACTGGAGATTTAACCATGTCGAATGGTTTTGAACCCTCTCCAAGGTTCAAATGCACCCTTCTTTCAGGGCCCTCTCTTCCGGGTGATTAAGTCTTTTAATGGCCCTTTGATTTCTACTATCCCGAGAAGGCCTTAGCTCACCCCCCGTTCAATTCTATCCTGAGAAGGGGGAATCCGAACCGGTCGGAATAGGTTGCGTCACGGTGGACGACCCTCTTCTATTTATTTTAATGGGCATCTTTTAGTCCTTAATTAGTTTGCCAGTCTCGGCTAATTCCCCGATACCGGTCAAACCTCATGGGCCCGTGTAAGTACGGTTCGAACCTTCTTCCAGGTCCAGCCCTCTTGCAGGCATACCCCTCTTCCAGATGTTATCATTTTTTTTATTATACTGAGCAAGACCGGTGTAGTAACTAGCGAGCCAGGTCCGGGCCTGTGTCTCAGTTGGCTTATCCAAGTGGATTCGATCCACCCGGGAAGCCCTCCCAGGATAGGTTCGACCCATCAATTCTGCTGCTACCAGGTTGAGTATTGAACTTCCTCAATTCGATTGATAATAAAAGTAGGCTTTGCCTAGTATTACAATCACTTGTAGAATTTGCGAAGATGATGGGAATTCCAAGTTCTTTCTACCAGTACACCATCTAAAGTTTCCAACCGGTAGGTGCCCGAGCGAATGATGGCTTTCACCCTGTATGAGCCTTCCCAGTTTTTTGCCAGCTTTCCTCCATCACCCGGTCTACTAGCCTCTCTTCTTCGCAGGACTTCATCCCCAACTTGGAAGTATCGCGGTCCAACCTTGTTGTCATGGTATTTTTTTCACGACTTGTTGGTAAGTGCTCATTTTAACTTCCGCAGCCATCCTTCGTTCTTCAACCAAGTTGAGTTCGGCTAAATGGTCTTCTTCATTTTGTTGGGGTTGATAATTTGATTCCCGGAATGTTGGGAATTCAGCTTCGATGGGTAATCTTGCTTCACACCTATAGGTTAGGGAAAATGGAGTTTCCCCATGAGCCCTCCTGGGTGTTACTCGAAACGCCCAAATGATATGTGGGAGCTCTTCTAGCCACTTGTTTCCTGCTTCTCCCAGCTGTTTCTTTAGACCATCCACAATTGTTCGGTTGGCGTTTTCAACTTGACCATTGCTTTGGGGGTATGCCACCAAAGAGCGATTGTGCTTGATTCCGAAACCCTCCAAGTATTCCGTGAATTTCGGATTTCGGAATTGTGGGCCGTTGTCGGTGATGAGATTCATGGGAGCTCCAAACCTCGTGATGATGTTCTTCCAAATGAATTTCTTACACTGTTGTGTGGTGATGTTGGCCAACGCTTCGGCTTCAATCCATTTGGTGAAGTAATCGATGGCCACGATTACAAACTTTTTCCTTCCTTGAGCTATTGGGAAAGCTCCGATGATATCAATCCCGAATCTAGTGAATGGGATGACATTCGATACGGGGTGGTAGTATGTCGCCGGTCTACCCGGATACTTGTAGAAGACTTGGCATGTCCTGCATTTCCGAACATACCTCTCACAATCCTGGACGATTGTTGGCCAGTAGTACCCCAGCAGTATGATGCGCTGGGATAGGGTGCGAGACATTTGATGAGCCGCACACACACCTTCATGGACTTCCGCAATGACTCTTTCGGCTTCCCGGTTGGTTAGGCATCTCAAGAGTGGTCCCCCGAATGCCTTCTTGTACAGCTTCCCATCAAGGACTTGGAACCGGGGTGCCCTGAGCTTCACCTTTCTTTCCCGGTCATCTTGCTCTGGCAAGCTTCCGTCCATCAAATACTCCATAAGATCCATCATCCAATGGTCATCCGCCCCGATCATATACTTAAAGTATATTATGCAACAATAATATTTTTCAAAACACATTATAGTGATAATGTTTTTAAAGGATATTTACATATCGCTTTAAAATATTTTCATATTGTTTTAAAATATTTTCGTAAATATTAATTTCATAGTTATTTTTATAAAAAATGGTAATACCGTGGCAATATATAATATTTAAAAATGAAAGGGAACTTAAGCATTTAATTTATTCGTGGCTCTAGATATCACTTTCAAGGACATACATTAAATGTATGAGACATTAATATTTAATACATTGATGGTAGTTTTCTTGAGCCTCCCAAAATTTGATTTAGTTCTTGAAGTCCATAACAATCAATTTTTCAGAGCTATTTTGCTCCTTGCATTAACCAATATTTATTGGCTCTATGTAATAATAAATTAAAATGAAATGAATGACATTAATGCCCTACATTGATAAGTACAATTGAACCGAGAGATATGAGAGATAAGTTATGCATTCAACTATATTCCCGCTCTAGATACCACTTTTCAAGGACATGCATTAAATGCATGAGATATTAATAAACCTACGTAGAGTTTTCTTGAGCCTCCCAAAATATGATTTAATTCTTGAGCTCCAAAACAATCCACTTTTCAATGCTTCAAATATTGATATTTTTGATACAAAACTATAGAGATAGGTATGGATTGGAAAAACAATGAGATAGGTGTAATTGTTATTTTGGTGGCTCAATGTAAGCGAGATAGGTGTAATTAATATTTTAGGGCTCAATATTAAGTTATAGAGATTAACCGGGGACGCAACATAAACATTTAATTGATTGTATTAGTTCGTGGCTCTGTGTATGACAACTCTTATTTTACAGTTTTTTTGTTCTTTGCATTAATCAATATTTATTAGCTCTAGGTCATAATAAATTGAAATCAAATGAATAACGTTAATGGCCTACATCGATCAGTACAATCAAATCAAGAGATATGAGAGCAAAGTTATGCATTTAATTAGGTTCATGGCTCTATTAATATCAATGCTGATATGAAGGGCATTATATCAATGCATTAGCCGTTAATAAAATGACGTGACTTGTTCTTAAGCCTTAAAAATTTGATATAATTCTACACTTTCCAAAGTGAAAAGCACGATAGTTTGGATGCAAATACATAGTAATCAAAGGCTTTCTTTTGTAATACCCAATGAAAGACTTAATTGGTTCGTGGCTCAATGTATGTATGGCTTGACAGTATCAAGTTTAAGTAACAAGTTTAAGAAGTTGAGAGATGGGCAAGTGATTAGAAAAACGGCATCCCCGACCAATTTCATTGACCTCGATCGTCAAAGTGGATATCAAAACTTGAAAAGTTAACTTCTTGAGGGGAAAGAGATAAGTAGTAATAGTATATTCATGATTCACATATACTACAGTACATCCACTTGGTAAAAATACACACATGCTAAAATTACACAATTTCTTTGGTTAAGCAAAACAGTGAGCACCTCGAGTCAGCTCAGCTAAAAAAAACATTTTACACAAAGGAATGCACCCATCATTCAGATGAAGTTGAGAAACTTCAGACCAGATTGTCATATAGTAGCTCAAGGGAACTGGAAACTCAGGTAATCTTGGTGCCCTGTGGGAGGGTACATGTACAGTGCAAGCAATGAAATGATGATGCATATGAGTGCAGACCAAAGAAAAACTATAGTTGGAATCTTTCCCCTTCTCCCCATCAAGCCCTTCGAAAAGGGATACAGATGAGAAAGCACCCAGAAACTGAAGAACACCCCTCCAAGCAGCTTACTCCACTGTGGGAAAGGACTGTACAGGGTCCTGAATACCGCGACCGCAATGGCGATCAAGTTGAGCAGGATGATTGTGATGGGAGGAATCATCAAGACCGTCCACCTGAACTCGTACAGCTCTGCAAACTCGTCCTCCCCATCGTCCGGAGCTGCTGATTTCGACGTCAGTGTGAAGTTGATGTCCACCCCTGCAATGACCTTCAAGAGCCCTTGTATGACTGCTGCAGGGTGTGCACTGGTCCCACCTATCAGCCAAAACTGCTCGTTTCGCCACCAGTCGTGGAGAGTGATTCCGGACCATTTGATTTCTAGGATCGCCAGAAGGCATAGGGTGAGAGTTATGGCCAGCAGGAAGGCTAGAAACGTCACGTTGAGGGACTCCACGATGAACTTCCCGGAGAAGAGGGAGAGTGCTGGGAGAATGCAGTAGACTAGGAGAAAGATGGAGGTGAAGGGATACATCCCGACATTGAAGTAAGCCACCCGTTGTAGGAACTTCATCCTCGGGCTGGCAAACAGCGCGTTGTTTCGAGAGAAGAAAATCTCGACAGAACCCGTGGCCCACCGTAGGACTTGGATGAGCCTATCTGTCAGGTTGATGGGAGCTGTCCCTCTGAAGGCGTCCCTTTTCGTGACGCAGTAGATTGATCTCCAGCCCCTATTGTGCATCCGGTAACCCGTCACCACATCTTCAGTGATGGAGCCGTATATCCACCCCACTCTTCGCCCCCACTCTGTTTTCTCCTCATAATAGCAACTTATCACACTGACTGCTTCAGCAAGAGCTGAAGCATCTAATGGCTCACGCTGCACGGCCAGAGATCCAGCTGGCCTTCCCGGGCAACCCTTCCCCCGCAGCTCGTGCAGCAGCCTACCACCAAACTCCGCCACGGCAATTGAGTCAACGAGAGCAACTGAGTTACCAAACTGCTTTGGAAGCAAAGCTCTTGCCATATCTTCTTCTTCGTCGTTGTGAGCTCCAATGGTTGGCAGAGCCATTTCCTCGTCGTCTTCTTGACCATTTGGAGTAGCTTTTTGTTTCCTCAGAATCTTCCTCGTCTTTCTCCTACCACACCATCCGTTATGCTCAGTAGCTCGAGGAGGGCTGAAGCCGTACAGAGCAATTCTTCGAAAGACACACCCCGTGCCAACATACATTGGCCCTTGTAGCCCATCAAGTGCTCTCATGCTCACGTCGAAGAAAACCGTGTTATGGTTTGCGTATCGGTCGTTTGGATCGATACCCTCAAACCGCTGAGGAAATTGAACATAGCAGATACGGTCTCCTCCTTTGTCAAGCATGAAGCACATTCCCTCTCTCAAAGCTAGTGAGTTGTATATGTAATGATCACAGTCAAGGTTAAGAATAAATGCACCATTGGACATAATTGCACTCGCACGGACCAACGCATTCATGGCTCCAGCTTTCTTGTTGTGATCATAGCCAGGCCTCTTTTCCCGGGATACATAAACAAGCATTGGCAATCTTATATCAACATCTGTTGTGTCAATAACGTTCTTTTCGTCAACGTCATTGCCAAAAAGCGGCTCCAGGTTTGCTGGAACCAACATAATCTGTGAATCCGACAAGTACAATAACCAGATAGGATCAAATTAACGGAAACTTCAGAAGTGAAAAAAAAACTACCATTACAGATAAACATTCTATCATAAATGACTAGAGCATCTGACAGAAACTCCAGAAGTGAAAAAAATCACTCCCTTTACAAATGTACATATCTAATGTTGTTTTAATGGAAAAAAAACCATCCCAAAAAGTGAACTATGTACAACTTAGTTAAAAAATAAAGATACAACGGATGATTTTCAGAAGGTTCTACTTCAAAAGGTGTAATTCGGTTAAAAAGACCCTTTTTATGGAAGATGAACAACAAACAGACAAAAGAAGATTACCTGTATAATTCCCTCGTGATCACCTCTGGAGTGGCCTTCCTCTCCAGATGACCAAGTTCCATGCCAATGAGTTCCATCAGACATCCAAGTAGCCTTTGGAACTCGGATGGGTTCAGACAAACTTTCGCCAAGTTCAAACTGTTTCTTCTTGGCCTTCAGCTCCTGTTGGGCATTGTAAGCATCCGATCTTCTCCTAATTGATTCAGGCAAGCCATTTATCCTAACCTTAAATTCATCATATTCTCTCTTTACCCTTCTTCTGTCTCTAACAAAGTCCACCCTCACTTTGTTCTTAAGCGGATCGCGCTTTTGGCCAAAATAGGCCTCAGGATTCCGGGGTTCTATTCGGTGCTTTTTACAAAAAGGAACCCACACTCTTGCAAAGCTTGCGGCTTCTGCAAGAGCCTCAAATGTCACCAGAGACCCTCCATCATCTGAGAGATAGCATGCTACCTTCTCCACCGGATAATCAACGGCAAGGATGGAAAGAATTGTGTTTGCAGTGACAAGAGGTGGTTCTTTCTCTGCATCTGCAGTAGAAACGAATATGTCTATGCCCGGTAGGTCAGAAAACCCTTTAGGGTTCCTAAGGTTTGGGCCTGACCCTTCGAAGCGTTCTTTCAGAACAGAGAGGTCAGTTACACGTTTAACAGGGCAAAGCTTGGGCAGCTGATCAAGGACCCAAGAAAGTGCAAACCATATCTCACAAACAACTGATATCAGCCACAGCCACTTGGCTTCGTGATTGGGATGACAGATCCTCCATGTCAGGAAGCACACAAGAGCACCAAGACGAAGAACCATAAGCAACCTAATGTCAAAATTGAACAAAATCAGTCCTTTTACTTCTGTCCTAAGTAACGTAATGACTAGGACACATATTCACAAAATTACATACTTTGGTGGTTTCTTGATATGCCATGTAAATATATTAATCAAGTTATTAACATTCAAACAAAACAAAATCATTCTCTACTTTTGAAATCAAGATTGCATAACTAAATAATTTAAGTCGTCCATGATGAACTAGAAACAAACTTAAGAAAAATTGCATTCATCAAAGAAAGAAAATATGAAACTAATTACTCTAGTTGAGTATGGAATGAAAAAGAATTCATAAATTGAATACCTGTAAGGACTGATAATTGCTGCAGAAATCCCAACCTTCCTGGTCAAGGGTTTGTTCCTTCTGTCGCTGAAATCAGGAGGGTTTGTTGATCTGTCAATTCCCCTTCCAAATTCACACCCATCACTTGGCCACAAGGCATTCCCATAGCCATATGTCCCTTTGGTCTCAAACAGCCATCGGTTGTGATCAAAATCCGGATTTGTGTTCTTGAAAGACTGCACCATAGAGAAGTTTTTTTCCCGTCTGCTTTCACCTCTCCTTGCAGGCAGAGAGTTTGCCAAATCTCGGGCTTCCGAATGAGGCTCGTCACTTTCTTCACCATCACTTACGCCCTTGTAGAGCTCTTTACAGCCAGGACAAGACCCAAAACCATTTCCAACACAATCCAAGTAGCAATCCCGGCATACTCTGAACCCACATTCACAAGGAGCTTCAGGGGCCTTCTCGTCACATCCTGCCAGTTGACACACCGTTTCTGGCTTCATCTCCAGAGACTTCCCCTGCATACTTCTCCTCACATGTGCCCTAGTCACAGTACTCGAACCCCCTGTATAAATCGTATCTTTGATGTAACCCTCAGTAGGGTTTCCACAGCTCTTGCCGACATCGAGAGAGCTGTTAAAGGAATCAACCAGGTTCCTGTTGTCCGGAGTCCGAGGAATTTGAACGGTGTAAGCTAAGAATTCCTCCGAGCTCTCTTTACACACTGAAACATATCTTCCTCCACTGCAGGAAGGTGTGCGATTGCCGCCCCCGCTCGAGGAACCCCTCAGCCCGCCTCCTTTAGCGCTGAGCGGCGAATTAGGGTTCGTATTAGACAAGGAGAAGCGCCGGACCGGACTTGTCAGGCTGTGGCAGCCACCTCCGGAGGTGGAAATGGTGATTGTCACCGGAGATGAAGACGAGGAGTCAACCGCCATTTTCACCATTATTATTATTACTCTGCGGGAGAAACTGAGCCAGAATTTAGCTAATCGCTAAAGAAAGAAGAGAAATAAAGAAATTGTGAAGGGGATAGTGTCTTGGTGTTGAAGAAGAGGGGAGGGGACTTCCTTAAATTTGAAACCCTAAGTCGGGCTGTCAATTGCTAGGACGTAACGGTCGATTAATATGCACCGTCCAGGCAAATAAGATCCTACGGTTGTGAATCACTTAGCTCGTCGGGTACCAGTGCACCATCAAGACGTGAGTCAAAAGAGCAAAGGAAGATCCACTTTGTATTCCAACGGTCCGATTATTCAAGTCCGCCCAAGATTTGTACCCCAATTTGT